GAGTAATTCAATATGGAGGCTCAACGGCGCAAAAAAACGTATACATGCAGCAGTCTACAGGGGATCGGATAGTTTTCGCTGTTCGATCAGGGGTTTGGGGAAAAACTAGTTATTGCGAAGGTTTTGGGATATGCACTGCAAACGGTAGTCAGGAATTATGTGGATGACAGGTTTTTAGTCTGCATTAGAGGAAACATCTCTCCCCCCCGGTCCTTTTGTGCTCAAATTTTTGCTATTTGTTATCTATCCTGAATCAGTTTTAGCGTTCGACTTATGGCGCCATCCATGACGTGTCTGAAAGACGTCAAAATTCACACCTGTATGCTGTAGTGTATGTTTACTTAGAGTTAACGCGAGTAAACACTGAGCAAACATGTTTGTAAATGATTAAATATCGTATGAGTTATGGTAGAGATTGCCACGCAATCACTTTAAACCTTTCTTATTGTATTGGCCATATCAGAAACGTATTATTATTAATTTACTAGTTTAATCTGTCTCACCCCGGGAAAGAATTATTATCATCTTCTAAACTTAACATATTTTTGATAAATCTCCCCGACTTTTCTTGATTTTTCCTAACTTTCAGGTTGGCAGCCCGAATTTCCATGGCATGGCGTTTTTCTCGTACGCCTGGGCTATGGGTATGACATATAACGGATAGCCTATTACTAGTCAGTTGCAGCCTATAATATATATCCATGCAGTATAAATAAGGTTAGTTATAGTTTAACGTTTATAATATCAATTTTCGTTTGAGAAGCGACACAGCCGATATTCTCATTATAAGACAAAAGTTTGTTTAAGAAAGCCAACTGTCAATATTTTATCCGCGTTATTAGCCATGACAGTTTGGATTTGCACATCCGTTAATTTATGTGTGATTTCCTAAGCTTGTGTAAAGATCGTCAAAACGTTGCTTAGAACAATGTTTGCTTATGCATTCAGAACCACATGCATAATAACAATTTTTCAACACATATAAATATGTTTTGGGGGTACTGACTGTGGGATTCAAGGGTTCAGTTTTTGATGATTAATACGGACCGCTATAAGATCTTATAACAGCAGCGCTATGAAGTTCAGTCTTTGGTTTAATCAATTTACAGTGAAACTATCAACAAACTTGCTCAATAAAATGAGTGTTGTATATTTGTTCTCGTCTAGTTGTTACGTTATAAAAACAGATACAATGCATTGTCTAAAATAACTTATTTTATTTTTGAATGAAAAATTGTTAAATTCTGATTGGTTAAAGGTCTAAAGGAAGCCCAATTATTTGATTCGCAATCATTCATTCATTGACACCAGTCACACTAGGTGCAATTAACAAATCAAATTAACTATATATAACCTGGTGGAATTGCCCCACATGAATGGATTTGCCCCCAGTCACCTTGACTCTAACTCTGTTCAATTCCTGGAAAAATTTGCCTCAAACTGCCCAGAACTGTGCAGAAAATAGCGTTCATGTGACCACGGGCTACCCAACAAAAATATAAAATCACATGCACAGTACAACAGTTAAAATTTCCATACCAATATATCTCGATATAACTCGAGCCTTTTGGGCAAGCCTTGATTTTTCCAAGCCCGCATTTTTCTCATGAAACTTTTTGTCTTGTGTCCCCCCCCCCCCGGTGAAAAATTCCCTAAAAAAAGCACTGCATAGGATCAACAATTAAGGCCCTGTTTTTAGACCATCTAGACCAATTAAGACCATCTTCTTTTGCCGTTACGGAGCAATGGTTAGTAGCAAATGCTTATTAGTTTGACAGAATTGGCATGTTTATTTGGGTCTCTAAGATTAAAAATCTTCACAGCCTTTCGATACCTACAAAATTTGACCCACTCCGATAGCAATCCGGTATAGTGTAAACGGGGCCTTCGTGAAATATTCAGTAATAACAGGTAGCTAATAGGCACCCAGCAAATAAGTCAGTCGGAATCGCATATAACCTACAAGTGTTTACATTATAAGGTGATTTAATGACGGGACAATCAGCTCGTGTAATTAGGCGCTATTTTTACGGAACCGGGCTGGTGGTCGCTACTTGAGACAAGCCCGGTAAGCTAGCTTGAACGATTTTGTGTTATCCTGAAAATAATTTCATCCTGCATGCTGTCTTGGTTATTTGGCAATAGACCCCTGAATCTGGGGGAGGGTACAATGTCTGGGATTATTTTTTCGTGGTTAAATATGACTTCCTCAGAACTCGGATTGAATTTCGAAGAATGCTGTTCCTTGAAATTCAACCTCAGCTCTCTTGCTACCCCTTCCTGAGAGTGACTCTCGAGTGCGCCATGGGACAAATGACAAATCCGGTTCCCATGCCGGAACATTTTAAACCACTTCAACGTGCTGGATGCAAGCCATCCCGCAGCGCTTAAAGAAATAAACAATGATGCAAGTATTCATTTTACCAAGCGATATAGTCAGCCTTGATGCATGAGGAACGCGTGTGGTAAATTCTGGTGTTTAAATTGTGCCATCACTGTCATGTTCAACAATCGCATGTGAGTTAATCACTGATAACATGCAACGCCGCCATCATAATGCATTCTGGTCTACCCAATTTGGTATTGGTGTTGTGTGAACATACCACGTCACGTGAATTTATAAATTATACACTAAATGAATTTATAAATTTAAAAATTTTCAGATATCCACGTATATCCCCAAAGCACAACTGGGGTTTTTTTCTTACAAAAATCTTCAGTTTTTCTTCAAAAATTCCCATGATTTTCCTCAGACCGCAAGGGTTGGCAGATAATAGAAAATAATCTACTAAATTGTACACATTTTATAGAGAATAGTCTAGTACTAAACTATATTAACGAGGATCACGTCCTGCTAATCAAAAGCTTGCACAAAATAAATGAAACGTGGGTTATACTTTAAACAAAACAATATGGCCTACTTATCACCTAGCAAACGGGAAAAACATACATCTTGTTGAAACGGCAAACATATTTGATGTTTTAGATAAGGCAAATATTTACGAAAGGCTGGGAATTCCGAAGCTTTGTCGAATTTTTTTACGATCAAGAAGCTGTGCAAGATTTTTTTCTAAATAGTTCTGTATATATTCCAAGTCAGTTGAGGAATTTCGCCCTAAATGCTTGCATGAGTTTTTTCAAAGTTTCACTCTTATAGCATGAATTTTTGGTGGGATCTCCAACGCCCCCTACCTAATGGTCCACCCCCAAACATTAACTCGCACAATGGTTTGAAACCTCGCACATGTATCCAATCAGTACACCATGTTCTTGAATTATGCTTAGATATTCGCATTGAATGGAATTTATATAGAACAGATTGAACGTTTAACACCTTTTTATCCCAAACAGATTTTATCCCAAACAGACAACTTTTTATCCCAAAACTCAAAAGTCTTCTATATTCAAAGATTTATCACGCTACTGCGATCAAATAGAGCATATTTGATGAAATTTAGTAACAACTTTGTCCTTTTAGAGTATTAAAGTATTTGAAGGTTTTAATCTCATCAGCCAATCAACGCTGAACTAGCCCCATGCTGATTCGCCTGATTGGCTGAGCCAATTAAAACTTTCAAATGTTCGTTACAAAACAGTGAATTTTTCACAAATTATTAAGAAAACATTAATTAAACTTTACAACATTCGGTTTTCCAATGCCTTTTATTGGTAGGCGAACACATTGTCACATGTTTACATAATTGTAAAATACGTATGTTTGCAGGCTAATATTTATATTCCCAATGTTTAAACCTGTATAAATATATGAACTTCCTTCTATAACTAAATGACCATCATATATAGCTTAATATTTACATCTTATTTGTCTGGTATAAAACACAGGCTTCTTTTTTATGTCGTATGTCGTAACAATACAAGAAACTTTGGATTTATAGCATGTATACCGCAGCTTAACTAAGTCTAAGTTTTCAATTTGTACAAAATGACAAAAAATAGCTTACTGTCCATTATTATTTTATTATACATTTTAAATTAATATTGTAGTAACAAAACAAGCTGTAACGTTAACAGTTCGGCCTTTGTTTTCAAAATAGGTAAAGATGTTTACAAGTCTAATTGAGCGGTATAGATTTCATAAATTTCATAAATATTTTGCGAACACGTTTTTTTTTTACCTTTTCTTTTGTTTTCTCATATTTTTGTATATTGAACTTGATTATAATGAAAGTTAAACACAGTTAAACTGATTTGGCTTCGGTTTTTGTTTGGGTTAACTTGCCTTGAGATAAATTAGCTGAAACTAAACATGCTATTATAAACATCTGTATATTTGAGAAATATGTACACTAAGAATATAATGGGTTGTTGTCTGGGTGTTAATTATCATACAGTACATATGTGTAACCAAGTAATTTTTTTTTCAAGTAATTTGAGTGCATCAGAAGATTACAAATTTTCCTTACAGTAAAGACGTAAAAACTCGACAAACTTGTGCCTATTTATTTAAGTGATTGGATCACACTGACTGCAAGGCTTGTATGCACTGTACTGAAAACAAATTGGTGAAAACAACTCATGAATTGGTTGTCGTCAAGCAGCCTCGCTTTGGTTATACAGCTATATTACCTACAATCGGTAAACCTACAGCGAAAGTCTGTGCATACATGTTGCGCTGCGTGGAGCGTTCTCGTTGCGGCGACATCGTTGCGCATTTCTTCAATGTCTCGCTTCAGTTTTGCGCGTCGATTTTGGAACCAGGTTATGACTTGTGCGTTCGAGAGATTTAGCGTTTCCGAGAGTTCATCTCTGTCTTGCGGTGAGAGATATTTCTGATAGAGAAACCGTCTTTCTAGTTCGTAAATCTGTTGATTCGTAAAACACGTGCGCGCCTTTCTTCTCGTCTTCTTCGTTGTCGATTTTGTTGTGAGAACCTTCAATCTCTCGCGAACAATAACAGGTTCTATATAGAAAATGAAAAACAAATTGTTGTGTTTGGTTAATTACATGGCCATTGGTTTTATTTTTACAGACTTAGTTAAGGGTTGACAGAAACACATATGTAAAATCAATTTAGCAGGCTTAGTTAACGGTGAACACGAATAGATATAAGCAAGAGTTTAGATCCATGCAGTACGAGTTCAAATCTTGTAATTAAATTTCAGTCTTACTTCTCATCCACTCGTATCAGGACAAGTTTCAAATATAACTCGAACTTGGAACTGAATTCGTACTGAATTTGAATTCTAATCAACTGTTTGATAAATGAGAGTCGGAATGTTGCAATTAAATGAGGATAATATGTAATTGATAGATATATATATATTATGTATATATGAAGGAACATCAATATTGCCTGTTCCCAAATTTTCAGTGACACAATCATGGCAACAATTGTTGGACAACTACTTTCTTTATGCAAATTTACCCAAACAGGGCTGTTAAAGCTGTCTTAGTCATGTCTCTCGAGTGTCGATGTTCTATTGTCTCCACACATAGGCATAGGCCTAGAAACCTCACATGTCTGTAAATCATTCCGTATTTAAACACTTAATTCGCAAACAAACTGGCAATTTTCACATGTACACAAAACACAATGCAAGTGCCATATTTCACACGGCAATTTCCTCTCCATTTGATTGCACTGAGTTGTACATATTTAACACGAAAGCCACATTTCCTAAATCAGTCAAAATGCATTAAGTGAAACAAGAATTTAAAAAACTAACTACTTGTTTAAATTTGGGTTGTTCCTGTCAGCTGACTAAATAAGGTTTTGATAAACAACCCGCAAAAACTATAGCCTTTAGGCTCTCTTCCATCTCTCCATATTTTCTATATATGCACACATGTTTAACATTGAAGAAACATTTCCTGAAGTCAGTCAAAACGCATTAAGAGAGAAAACTCTTTGTTTAAACTTGGGATGGCCATCCAGACAGATAAATAAACTAGCTATATACAGGATTTGATAAACAGGGCCATGCACAAACTATTGCTGGCTTTTTTGCCATCTTCTCATAACTTATTCCATACACATTTAGATTTGATTCCTATTTCAGTCAAGTTGTATTAGTTTTTGCCAAACTTTGTTGAAATATATAATAGACATGCATATGTGTTCTTGCATGAATGTAATGTCTATAACGATTTTGACTTTGTGAATAGGTAATCAAAGTGCATCCGATGATTCTACTAAAACTATTGGCTTTTTTATAATTTTCTGTATTCTTTATAATGTGGATATTTCACATGAAAGCAGCATTCTCTAGTATTCCAGCCCCGACGCATTAAACACATTACTCCTTGATTTAAATTGAAAGTAGATGCTTTTGGGTTGACTTCAGTATTGACTATTGTTCTGTATATATACTTTCTGTACACATATTTAGCATGAAAAGAACATTTCCTATCCGTGTTTAATCGCATTAAGTGAAGTGTGAAGAAACACTCCTGTTTCAATTAGGGATTTTCAAATCTTTGGATTAGTAAAAGGTTTGGACTAACAAGACAACTGTCTAATGCTATAGACTCCTATAGCTGTCCCTTCGTCTTTCGTGTGTACACATACACGTTTCTATAATTAATGGCTTGAAAACTGTTTTTCGTGTGAAAGAAATTGGAATTATATCCAGCCTTGCAAGATTTCGAATAAGCGACGTACGTTATCATTTGCTATACTATAAGTAACTGAACGTTTTCCTCGTCAGTCAAAATTAAATGAAGATTTTTTGACAAACAAACAACCTATAAATATGGAACCCGTTCGCTCTTTACTTACTCTCGTGTATTCTATAAACCAATGCAAGCTAGTTTGAACATTAATTGAATAAAATAATAGATCCTCAAGGAAAAACTATGTTAACTGAAAATGTATTAAAAGTAAAAAGTTCTCATGATAAAATATAGCTTGTTTACCACTCCTGAGCTTTGTGGAAAGATTCTGCGTCTGTGAACCCAACTGTGCAAAAAGATAGAGATTACTTGTTTTGCTTTTCCCATGTGCTTTTATGTACATATTTCAAGTAAAAATGGTGTTTCTTTACCGCAGGTCACAACCTTATAATACCGGCCGTATACATGAACGATTGTCAAGTTAAGTTTGTGAAAGACAAATTATAACAGGGCCCAACATCAACATGTAGGATGCATTGCTTTTGTTAATTGATCACGATATGATTTCCCTTTAACACTTTGTTGTAAGTAAGACTGCTTTAAAATGTGTGTCATTTCTAAGCTACTAAACTTTGAATTACGAACTCTAAAAATAATGTGCGTCTACCATCAACAAAGATTATGCGTAAATTGTAAACTTTACAATATAATTTCCTAATTCCATCAAGACAAATCGCATTAAGCCGCGCTAAGGCGGCAAGCTGTTTCCTTACTGTATTTGTCATTGCTAGGAAAGTCTGAACAGTGGATTGTTTCACATCCTTATTTAACAAACTATCCTTGGGCATATATATCATACGCATATCATGCGCTGATATACTGGAACTGAAATAGGATTCAAGTTAACTGAATGCTTAAATCGCATCGCTTCAAGAAGTGTACAAGCTGTACGTAATTATGTACTTCCATTCCCGATTTATCACACGACATGTTTCCGAGGTGTAAACTATGTCTAGCTTGTAAAATATGGGTCAAAACAAAAAAATAAAATAACAATGTACCTTCGTGCTTATCAGCTATCCGTTCTGGCTTCATTGTAGAGAAAGCATTGCTTGTAAACGCCTCTAAAGCGCTTAAAGGTCTCGTGTTTTCTGCTACCTCTCTCCTCTCTTCAAGTGCCGTGGAGTTTTTGGCTAGTTTGGGTTTTCTACGTTTTGTTCTGCCGTTCAAAATCGATTCGATAGAGAAGGGGTGATCATGGATGCTCTTCTTTGTTTCCTCCGCCGACATTTCATTTTCATCGCTTTCTACGGTTTCATTTTCGCTCGTTTCGGTTGAAAAATCATTCTCGTCCATGCCAGCGTCCTTCATGCTGCTAGCGCAATTAGTTCCAAGGTTGTTTTATTCTTTAAACGCATGCACACGGTGCATATAGTGCGGTAACTCCATGTTTGCCCTACCGTACTTATTCCTTCGGGCCCCGGCTAGTAGCGAATGATTGATCGCGTTAGACTCAGCCAATCAGAACGCTTCGTTTCGATTCGATCAGAGCTAACACGACCCGGACTAAACAATTAACCATCAATAATAAGCTGTTCTTTAGCCAATCAAAATACAGATTAGACGACTTAATTGAATCAGCGTGACCGTTCGTCAAATCGAGGCAGGCAAAATGAAAATTTAGGAGATCAATTAAATTATCTTGTCAACAAGTTTGTCAACGAAACTCGTTAGAAACAAGGTGTAGTTAGCAAGAACACGTCAAATCACTCAGTGATTGAGGTGACCGAGGTTTAGATCAAGCCACCGGACCGTCGAAGTGAACGTTTTGAGCGAAGGACTGTTGAACATGACGTATTCCGAGGCGAAAACGCGCTGGCTGCGTTACAGATGTTCAAGTTTTTGCAAGAGCGCAATCAAAAAAGTTGGCAAGCGCCAAGATAAGATGGCCCCAACAAGATAAGAAGCCAGATGCGCAAATTCAGTTTGTAAGGCACCATCAATCTTCCCAAAGCGCACTATACCATAATCCGGAGTCCGAAACCGGAATACGGCCCTCGTAGTATACTGCCTACATTGGTGGGTTGAGGGATTTATATACAGGCAAGAATTACGTTGCAATATACTGCATATATTGTACTGTATGCATGCAATCCAATCATGAACAACCATTATTAACTAATATATGCTTTTCTTTACATGATTTTCAGTTAAACAACAACAACAGAATGAATTAGTATGCCTGACGTTGACATGTAACACTTGTCTTGAATAGGTTTATGGGCTTATCATGTTCTCTAGCTGAAGGATATTTGACTTGTCATATAGGGGCCAACTTGAGATAATTCGTTGGCTTTCAACAAAGTGGGGGTGTTATTTGAGAGTTTAAGTGAGTGAAATTAGTCGGCTAAACGTGAGTATTAGATTTTACTTCAAATTTCAAAAAGTTCAGAAACAATGTAGTGAGATTTCGTTTATTTTACGAGTTTTGGACTAAGTAAACCCGAGCCTTAGTCCAATCCAGTTTCAAATCCACGAGCCAGTCTGGGTTCAGTCAGAATCCAGTTCTGGTATTGCGCCCAGTCTTCTCTAGCCAACGCTTTCCATATTTGGAGGTATTAAAAGCATTTAGTACGAGCCTTTCATTAAACCCGCCGCGCAGCCATTTAGCAAGTTTCTCCGAAGACTTAAGGCAATGATACCCTTTACAAAGGGCCGAAACCCGTTCCACAAAAGAAACCAAAATTGCGCACAATTTACACAAGGGTCTCCGACTTGCCGTGCCGCAGTCTGAAAAAAGAAAGATACGTAATCTTTTTCGAGATAATTCGTTGGTATTTGATGAGCTGCTCGCTGTCCAATAATGGGTAGGCGGAGCATGATAACTCGATTAGTGCGAAGTAAAAACGTTTTGTGTTAATAACAAACACGTTTCGCCTTGAAGGTGTGGACAGGGTTTGGAACCAGCGAGGCTCTGGCATCTTATGCCGTCACGGGTGTTTGACATAAGGGCTAATATGTCGCGTTGAGGGTCTGTGAGGATTGTTTCTAAAAGCCTAAAACCTGTGACAGTTTAGAAAGTGAATGATAGCGGAAAGCTGTAAAGATATGAAAGACCGCAACATTGCGATGGCTCTAGTTAGTCTGATGTGGATTTTTACTGAGAAACCGATATGTCAAATATTTAGCTTTCAGTAAATGAATGCTTTCCGATCGTTTTGTATCTTTATATCGTGTTCAGTGTGGTCAATCCGTGAGACGGTGGGGGTACACAACTGTTCAGAACTGACCTCCAATTGTACTCAGGTTTTCTAAAGGACGAAGTAGCTTCATTGTCAGTTAACACAATACTACAATAGCAATTGTTAAATAGAGCCTACAGCTTGAATCACATATCATCTGTGGGTAATGTTCCACTCTTCTTACTGTGGATATTATAGTATAGTATTTAACAATTATTCGCCGAAGGCGAGCCTGGCGAGGTGATTATCGGTGTATAAAAAGCGAGACGAAGTCGAGGCTTTTATTCACCATAATCATCGAGCCTGAGGTGAATAATTGTTTTAGTATAATTTCATAGGTCATTATTTGGAAAAAAATAAAAAATACACATTTCTTCGTCATTTAATTGACAAAACGGCTTCGCCGCCATTTCGAAAATCGCTTAGGTGATTATCGCATTATAATCACCTCAATGGCAACCAATCAGCGTGAAGAATTTTCAATAATCACCTATGTAATTATACTAATATATAATATTACAGTATACTCAGTGTGCAAAACAGTTATCTCTAAAAAGTGTATTATGAGTATGTCATTGTTCCTGAGCTATTGCATGATTGCTGAAAATAGGGCTACGCCATTATTATTAGAATTATTTAACCAAATGCACTGAGGAAATGTTTCTCCATTAACATCTGAAACCAAATTATATTATTTTGACATGCAATTAATCTCAAGCAACGAATTCGTGCCATTTTAAGCGTTATCATTTAGCGAATTTTGACAAAATCGGTTTAGTGGATCAGCCTCGTACCCAGAGCGTTGGCGCCTAAGATTACACAGCTCGTACCCAGGCGCTTAATTCTAAAGTCGCGCTAAACGCGCAATGGCCGGCTTGAAGAGGTGCGCACCTTGGGGATGAGTCTGGTTGCAGTCACAGTACTACAAGGCAGCCATGTTGGAAGAACATTCAGTTCAAAATTATCAAATATTAGTTCAAAATATTTTCAGAGCTCAACAACTGTGGCTCAGTTGGGCCGCAGGTTCAATTCCTGTCGGCAGAGGGCCTATAGTTGCATTTTTCGCAACTGCTCCTGGTTAGGTATAATAAATGTATAAAAATCACACTCGAAATTTCCATCTATAAAATCCTCAAACAATCAGTTCAATCGAGTAAAGGCCATCAGTTTCGCTGAGTGGGAAGCAAAATGCCCTGGGTACGAGGTTGCAATCGAGTGAGTCAAAATAGTCCGCCAATAAACAATCTGCTTACAGTGACTTGAAGAGACGTCAAACATTATCGATGACAGTAAAGTCCTTGATTGCTCTTCTCTTGAGTAAATACAACTTCCTAACGAAAACTATTCAAAGATTATTTTGTGTAGTTGTGTATTTAACCCCTTATTGAGCTTCCCATGCATATCATGTTTTGCTTCAAGCCGGATCAAAGTAACATAACTAAGTAAGGAATTTGTAGAAAGTGCAAAGGTAACATTTGTTCCGGAAACGAAAGATTGTTCATTCTAGTCTTGTTGGTGATATATCACTGTGGGTTCATCAACAGAGCAGCAGTAGTTGGTGGTAAACCTCAGAAGTAGTATGTTGACACGTCTAGGAACAAGCATATATTAAGTTATTCTAACTACTTAGCCTTTCACCTCCAAAAAGAATTAACAACGAAGAACTAAACATGATTAACACCGCAAACAGAGACCATTTGCTCGGCACGTGTATCTAACACGATTCTTTAGTAACTTCAATACGTATGATTGCGGTTGATTGCAGATGACGTAAAAATTTCAGTTACTAAAGGTGGAGTAAAACGGGCAACAAAATTGCTGCAACTTGCAAAAAACTGATTTCTACGCATGTTAATTGAAAATGTTTACACATAAATTACAAACCACGAGGGAATATGTGTCAACATTTCTACTCAACATGCGTTGAAATCAGATTTTGTTGCAAGTTTCAGCAATTTTATTGCTCGTATTACTCCAGCTTAAACACTCTGGGCATTACCAATGCAATGAAATCAAGAATCAATTACTCTACTTTATGAAGATTTTTAGAACCACTGAGTATTTTAACAAAATACAAAAGTTTATCCTGATGATGATTGAAATATGGTCGAAACGAAAATGAATATAAAAATGTTATCGATTTTTGGAGTTACACTTGTTTTGTATTATGACGATTTATCTTTTCATTTGTAGTTTGTTTCACTAAATACTACTGTGCAACAGATGAGGGTCATTGGTCAACCAGTGAGACAGCATTTCTTTCTTTCTTTCTCTATTTCTCCCCTTAGAAATAGTAGTTTAGTATTTGCCGATGGGGAAAATTGATATAAAACTAAAAAGTGCTGAGTAGTAATTAAATCTTCTTGCCTATTGTGTGTCAACAATTTTGAAGTACTTGACAATATATTACTGCATGCTACCTCGTAACGCTTAGAGAAACCCAATAATCTATTTTCTTAATTAATATTTTATCTTTTGTAAGAAGATCGCTGAGGTTGGGCTTAGACCCCCCAAATAGATTGTCACTGGTTGCCACGCCTCGTGCACGCATTTGCGGCATTGAAAACTCGGTGGTGACGCATTTAGCTGACATGCGAAAGATGTTTGCATAGAATGCGCCACTTAAATGCGCTAATGACAAAAACTGTAGCCTGCAGTCAAATCTCATTGATTGCATTACATATTTAAAGAATTACTATCATATTTTTGGTAAATGTTTTAGTTCATATATTATCATCAAATTATTGAAACCTGATGGGCTTATAAAGATTAACTTAACAACATTGTCGGCATTGATTGTAATTCACTAATTGCCTTTTTATTGCTAAATATGCATAAAAGAAAGAAACTTATTTCCGATCTACTGTATAATTTTGACTTTCGTCCCATTCTGTACATATTCCTTGTCTCCTGTTCTGTTACTATCCTTCTGCATGAATCCAGGTTTTTGTCATGACCGCGCATGATTTTGCAATTTGTATGTTATTGGAAACATATTAGTATAGGAAGCATTACTTTAGTATTTGCCTTGTCAAACTATCAGTTGTAAATAGTGAAAGACGTTCATTAACAGCGTAGGAGGGAAACAGGAAAGCTGAGCCTGAGAGTTAAGTGCTCTCAGTTAAAACAATATCAGTTACTGAATTTATGTCAGTTCGATTGATTGAAACATTACTGAGATGAATTACACAATCATTCGCGCTTAAATGTTGTTTTTGAAGCCTATGAAAGGCTTTTAGAACAAATTGTTTTGATTTTCCCGAAGGAAGTTGACACAGTGCGAGTCATTGTTGCGACAATTTATAGGTGATTTTCACGTTAGGTAATCATTCGTCGCCACGTTGAATGGATTTGACAAAGGATTTTCCTCTCTTTTAATTTCTTTTTAAGTCCCTGAGGAACTGTGTTGCATGCAAATTACAAACCACCTCATTTAATCATATTCAGGCTATGACCACACCAACCGTAGTTACATAAAAGGTGATTATTCATGATAATTTTTTTGCTCAGCAGAATTTTTTAGATTGTCAACGTGATTCAATATACTAAGAGAAACCATTTTATGAAATAAAAGTTGGGGTCACCGATGTCCTTTTCAAGTTAAATTACTTTAAAGCCAAAATATCCGCCATATTGAAACGTCATTGGTGCCATAGCAACGGCAGTTGCGTTACTTTTGCACTTCTTGGAATCGATTTCTGGCATTTCCAGAGTCATTATGCCTGGCACCCTTTTCGCAAGACCCTGTGATCGGTAACTACCACACACAAGTAAAAGTAACAGTTCGGTATATAAGTATGTAACAGTTGCCCGGTGTGGTGCATATGGGACGCATTAGCTCGATGTTTACCAAACCTTTGAAACGAACGCATGCGCCATAACTTGACATTCGGGTAAACCAGCGCATGCGTGGGCATCATCCAATCAGGACGCAGGAAAATTTCGCACTGGTCCCGCGAGGGCGAGTTCGAGACATGTGCGAGATGGCTCAAAAATTTCAAAAAACTATTTGTTTTCAAAACAAAATTCAGTGAAAATATATATTATTCACATGTATTTGCTTGTCGAAGGTTGAAATTTATGTCTAACCAAATCTACATTCTACACCGTCAATTAGGTCGCACCGCCGTTTGTTTCTAGTACTGACACGAAAGGTTTAAACTTTTATATTCTGTACTGTTTTGTTTCCTTTTTTGACTTTTTTGTTTCCTTAGTTGATACGAAAATATTCTTGTCTAAAGCTTGGTCATGCTATGCAAATATTTCCGTGTTCACACACCGTGAAAACAATCAATTTGTAAAGAAATGAATAATGATGATGATTTAAAATTTGCATAACATGACCAAATTGTCGGGCTGGCTTCGCCACTGCATTCCGGGTTTTATAGATTCCAGCTTTTCTCTCATTCTGGGTTTTACAGACTTCTGGCTTTTCGCATTGTGGGTTTTACAGATTTCGGCTTTTGTCATTCTGGGCTTTACAGATTTCAGCTTTTTGCATTCTGGATTTTACAGATTCCGGCCTTTCTCATTCGGGTTTTCTCATTCCATTCCACATTACTTGTTTTACATATATAGCCTTGTCATTTGTTACAGCACACTGCCACAGATGACACTGCTGGACACAGAGGTATGGACATAAAAAATGATAATGTCCTAATCATGTGAGCACCACGTGAAAATCATGCAGGCATAATTTATGATAATTTATAAACACGTGCGCACCACGTGTATATGATGTATACAACAATTTTTTATATACGCGCATTCATTCAAAAATAATTAACATGCTCGAAATTCATGTTGTATTGTCAAGGCATCAAAAGGTTGCAATTTGATTTCACCGTTTCACATAATTTTGTAAATATGGCAAGCGAAATCAAAGACAGTGTAAAAGAATATTACGGCAAAATTTTGCAAACAAATGAAGATTTAAAAACCAATGCTTGCGTTCAAGTGGGTAAAGTACCAAAGCAAGTAAAAGAGGCACTTAATTTGTGTCATGAGGAGGTTTTATCGAGGTATTCCGAATTTTATATTTCGTGTAATTATTTGTATTTATAACTATGATACTCGATGATAAACGCTTTTCGATTCACCAAATGTTATAGTGTATACTGTATTTTGTTTTCAAATATGCTCATGTTTATATTTTCCTATAAAGATCCAAATATATCATGTCAACTATTGTCAAGTACTTGCAAGGACGACGCTTTGTGCAATTATTTAACATGTCAGCTGATAATCATCGTCCGATATAAACTACTCGTATTTTTCCTACAGCTATAAACTCTACTAGCTATTGTGCCAACCTTTGTTATTTTACATCATCATTTAACCTAGCTGTATTATTAAAGTGTTGAGGAAGAGTTTGTTGGGCATTTATTATATACTATGTTTATATATCAGTGCAATTATTTTTTTGAGGGGGGGGAGCAAAAGCCATTCCAGCCCCTCTTTATAAAATATTGGGGCCGGGGCACAGCACACTCCCCCCAGGCCCCTGCTTCCTATGCCCCTGGATATCACCTGGAAATGCAAGAAATGGTGTTGCAACTAAGTACATTCATTTTACTGTGTGATATCACTGAGGTATCAAATGTCAATAAGCTCTTCCCTCCGCCTTTGCGTAGATATTATGGCTGTGGTCTAGTATTTCCTGCAGCAGTGGAAGGTATGAATGTATTGGATTTTGGCAGTGGTGCTGGTCGAGATTGCTTTATTTTGAGTAAACTTGTTGGAAAAGATGGCTTTGTAACAGGTGTGGATATGACGGAGGAACAGGTATGTAGATATTAAGCTGCTGTCATTTCTCTTTACCAAAATTTTACCTATTGCAAAATTGCCATGCATGGTGTCTAATACAACCCATCAAGTTGCATTCCACCTTACCCTACTTTATTATTTTCTCTATCTAATGCCAGATTTTTACTTGTCAAAGGAGAGTGCTACCGCTCAACATGTTAATTGCTGAGTGCCCTATGATCCCCCTTAGCATTTGACAAATATCTTCACATTTTGTAAAACTTATGAGTTGAAAGTCGTTGTTTTAATAAAAGGGTTTTTTGTGAGTTAAACTGTAAGCTAATTTACTCTTAGCATAGCAATTTTAACTCAGCTACTAAGCCCACCCTAACTCTATGTGTCATTTGTATAGGTAAATGTTGCCAGCAAATACATTTCCTACCACACAGAGAAATTTGGATATAGTAAACCAAATGTGGACTTCAAACTTGGATACATTGAAAATCTCAAAGAAGCGGGAGTTGAGGATGAAAGCTGTGACTTGATTGTGTATGTTGACCAGGATAGCACACTATAGACAATCCAGTGCCATAATTTTGGTAAGGGGCCCCTTTCCAACTTCCAAGTTGAAAGGGCCTGCCTCCTTGACCCTGGCATACCTTCAAGGGTCAGAACTAGAGCTGTGCGGTTCCAAAAATTTTATCTCGGTTCCGGTTTCGGTTTTTTTGGAACAAAAAAACCTCGGTTCGGTTCGGTTTCGGTTATTTTCAAAAAAGAAGAACAGTACAAATGTATGAACTCATTTATGTATGTTTCGAGCATTTTTACTAAATAGATGAATTTATGCCTTTCTAAGTTTGTATAAATCTCTGAATATTTTAAAAGAACAATTGGAATTTATTTATGAAGATGTAATATTTCTTAGTTTTTAAAAAAATTTAAAGCAAGTTCACAAAAATAACTATCACAACTAAAATATCAACTATTTGAGCACTTAGTACAGTGCATATTGTGCACAAAGAGCACAATCTTGTTATTTTCCAAACATTTCAACCTGCAATCAGGTGGGCGTTAAACGGGAAATTAAAACCGAAACTACCGGTTTTTTTGCGTATAGTTTTTCGGTGCTGAAAAAAGTACCGGAAGAACCGAATTTTTCGGTTAACCGCACAGCTCTAGTCAGAACCCTGATTTCATTGAAAGTTTAGGTATATGTTTCTTAACGAAGTACTGAAGGTATGGTGGGGGAGAGGGATTGATTTTATCTCATTTTTAGAGTTTTAGTCCAAATCAAAAGTGAATCAACAACTCATTCCCGACAAACCACCCAGTCCGCATAAGTATTCTCAAAGTACCTGTACACAAACATTATCTACCAAATGATGCGTGTGTATACACCTAGTAGATAGTTGATCATTATGCTAGTCAGTTCAAACAAACACGCAGATGAAAACCTCCAGGTGGAGGTAAATTGCACTCTTTAGTCGGCCGGCCAAGGTGGCAAAAGTGCCTCTAAAGAGAGTTTGATGGCAACTTTATGTTAGAAGCTGGTAACAGGCATTTTCTTATAGTTCAAGCCTTGGTGAATAAGACTGTGTGTGTTAATTACCACTTCTGATTTTTGCTTTATAGCCAAAAATTGAGAATTTTAAAATTTTGCCTATTAAATTACTATGATGGCAAAAAATGTAAAATTTCATGTTCTCTTATACAAAAAATAAACTATACCACTAGAAAGATCGCAAAAAACTATATATAAGGTAATTAATTAAGCGACTAGTGCGATTTTCAAGTCGATTTTGAATTAAAGATGGTTAAAGTTGGCAAAATGGTAATTTGGTCATTTCTGCATTTTTTAACATTAAAAACTCGAAATAGGATTGGAAAAAGGTAGAACTCACTTAATTGTCTTATATATAGTTTTTTATGCTCTTTTTAGTGGTATAGTTTATTTTTCGTATAAGAGAATATGAAATTTTACATTTTTTCCGATCATAGTAATTTAATTAAGGCAAAATTTTAAAATTTGCAAATTTTTGGCTATAAAATAAAAATCACAAGTGGTAACACATATAGTCTTGTTCACCAAGGCTTGAACTATAAGAAAATGCCTGTTACCAGCTCCTAACATAAAGTTGCCATCCAGTTGTACAAAATGATGACTTGGCCAGCCG